ATCAGAAATGAAATTTGAAAAAATATATCTGTATTATAATAATAATATTTTGTTAATCAGTTAAGATAAAATATCTATCTATAATTATACTGATATAACTAGCAGGTTAAAAGAAATTTGTATAATCTTGGTTATACAAAGAAATGCAAACTAGTATTAAGTAGTACAAACTTAAAATAAGTTCTTGTGATTGTTTAAATTTATAAAATTAGAAAAACTAAAGTTTATTTCAAAAAATCTAAATAAAAAAATAATATAGATCTTTAACAGTACTATTATAAAGACTAGATCTAGAAAACAAATACTAATATAGAGAAATTAGACAGGCAAGAACCTCAGATAAAAGATATTACTAACCAGACTTTCAAAAGTTTCAAACTAAAAAAAAAGAATATCAAACCAGACTTAGTATACTAAAGACATATTATAATTCTATTAAGCTGTTAATTATAAGTCAAATAAAAAATATCAGTATTATATTAGCATTTTTTTAGAACTGATATTAAACCAATATTAGTTAAAATTTGATTAGAATTAGGAACCTATAGGATAAAATTAGCTTTAAATAATATTAGTAAGCTAATAGCTTTATAAATAAATTAATAATACTATTAATTAATTGATTAATAGCTATTGATCAATTAATTAATAGCATTATTGATTTATATATAGAGTTATCAGCTTATTAATATTGTTTAAAGCTAATATAATACTGATTTTTATTTTATAGATTCCTAATTCTAGCTAAATTTTAGCTAATATTAGTCTAATATCAGATCTAAAAAAATACTAATATAACACTAATATTTTTTTATTCAATTTGTAAATATTTTATAAAAATGAATAAACTAGTTAACAGAAAAACCTTTAGAGCCTTATAGCTAAATGATGTATTCTGAACTATGTAATATCTTAACAAATATACAGAAAGAAAGGCCTAGGTTAGGTTAGATAACATTTAAGTACATAGAAACTTATATGCTATCTGTTAGATATAATATAAAAAATAGAGTGTTTAATTAGATAATCTTCTAGCAGATTGCAGATATAACAGCTAATATAAAACTTATAAGCAGATTACTTAAATAGATAACCAAAATTTGTATATATGACTAGTTGCATACTCACTTTGTACAAGTTATAAAATTATAATTAAAATACAATAAAGGCAGTAGTCATCAATAACAAATAGCTTTAATAAAAACAAAAAAAAATATTTAATTTAAAATATAAGGCTTTTTGTTTAAATAGTTTTAAAAAAAGTAATATAATAAAATTATTTTAAATTTTATGTTTTATTTTACTAAGTATTTATACTATTATATATATATTTTTCTATTATTAATTTAAAATTTTTTTTGTATCAAAACTTTAAATATTTTTTTTTCTTTTAAAGAAAAGTCTATCTTCTATCTTTTTTATTAATTAGTTAATTATATATATATAAGATATATAAAGAAAAGACTATACTAGAGAAAATGAAGGTAAGAGCTACTTTATTCTTAATTTATTCTTTGCTAAACTGCTCTATAAATATTTAGTCTTTGATAAGTTAGTAAAGAGAAGATTAATTGTTTATGCATAACATAGTATTGTAATTTTTAGTAATATATATGAGATTAGTATAGTTTTAACTAATGTTAGTAGTTGTATCAAAGATGAAACTAGTTATAATTTTACTAAAGTACTAAGAATATACTATAAAGTAGATGTTAAAATTTAGATAAACTTTGCAATAGTATAGTAGTTTAATAATTAAACTCTAATTGCAAATGTTGGTTCAGCTATAATAATATTTAAATCAGTTATAAAATAAATATATAGTAGGCTTCAAAAAGTTTATTTTAAGAATAAATTTGGTTTAAAGTTAAAACAAGAATCTAGATATAACTTAATAAAGTTAATATAAGACAAATTTAGAAGGTTTAAAATAAAACAATCAAGCAGAATATTAGATTTAACAATTAGTAGAAAATATTAAGCAAACTTCTTAAATAAATAATATAGAAAAATTATATAAATAGCCAATTATATACTCTTTCTGTAATAGTTTCTTAAAAACTATATTTTCAAAAATATATTAATAAAGTCAAAAGATTCAAGAGATTACTTTAATATTAAAAAAAATAAATAAATTGTTTCTTATATAAAAAAATATACAAAATCATTGTAGTTAATTTATTGTAAGAATAATTATAAAAAAACTTAATAGATTATTTAATTTTAAAACTTATTTTAAGTATTACTATATAATTAGAAAGTATCTTGCTTACAACATATAAATGAAATAAGCAAATAAGTAAGATAACATACTTGTGTTTTTTAATAACATATTACAATATACAAATCAGAATTAAAAAATTTTAGTATCATTTGATTCATCTTACTAAGATGAATTAAATAGTACTAAAATTATTTTATTTAAAGTACAAAAATACACAATATAATTAAAAAACAAATTTGTTAATAAGTTTAAAATATTTTTAACATTTTTTTTAAAAATATAATTTTTTTTATTAACAAATAATTAATTTAATAAATAATTTATTTTAATAAATTTTAAAATTTTTATATAAGCAACTCTTAAATATATCATAATACTTCACTTTATCTTAACATTAAATTATAAATAACTTTATTAAACTTGAACATATTGTAAACTTTAAGATATATAAAAACTTTGAATTTAATTTAGTTTAGTTTAATAAAAGTATTATTTAAATTCAAACTAGTTTGCAAACTTTAACCTAAATTTAAACTAAACTTAAACTTAACTAAAAAATTTAAAACAAAAGTTTGAGTCTAGTTAAAAATTAAACTAAACTCAAACTTAACAAAAATCTAGTTTAGTCTAATCTAATAAAAATTTTAGTATAATATTATATAAATAAATCTAAAAAATATATATTTTATAAAAAGTTTTGTTTAAAAATTTTAAATAAAAAGATAGTACAATCTTTAACAATACTATTTGTAAAAATTTTAATTTGAAGAAAAAAACCTAAAACAGATAATTAGTATAAACAAAAACTTTTAAATAAAAAAAAACTAATAATTAATCTAAGTATAAAATTATATTATATAAAGTTTACTAAATTAGTAATATAAGAGAACTTACAAGATAGACAAAACATCAATAAGATGATAAAAAAAGATACTAGAATTATATAATCTTTACAAAGATATAATAGTTTAATAGTTAACCTTAACTGTAAGTATTAATTCTAATTATAATAATATCAAATTAACTATAAATAGAAATGCAAAAAACTCTAAAAGATTAAGATTAAGATAAAAATTTAGTTATAATTTAGTAAAATTAATACAAAAATACAAAATTAGAAAGTTTAAATACAATTAAAACAATGTTATTTATTACTAAATTTTTTTTATCAGAGGAGTACCCTTCTTCTTTTTTTTTAATATATATCTGAACAGGTTCTTTATATTTAATTTTAATTTTTTTTATTTTTCTCTTAAAAAATCATCTGATTTTTGTTAATTTTTTTTTAATAAAACCTTTAAACAAACTCTTTAAATAAGTAATATAAAAAAGTTATATATATAACTAGTTGTACATTCTTTTTTTTCAAAAAGTATTAATAAAATTAAAAGATCAAAAAGATCACCTTAATATCAAATATATATATATATATATATAATATCACATTAGATGTCTATAATACAGTCAAACTTCTCTATAATTACATTCTTGGTTTAATAATTTGATGCTTATAGAGAGTTTGTGCTTATATAAAGATTAAATTTTATAAGTATTATATAAGTTGGTTTTAAAAATTTATGTAATTATAAGCAAATGTGACTATAAAAAAGGTGACTATAAAGAAGTCTAACTGTAATATATTAACACAAATACAATGTAAAATTACATATACTAATAATATAAAATTTAATAAAGTAATTTATAATTTTAAAGGCATGGCCTCACCGTTAATATTTAAAAAAAAAAGTAATTTATAATTAATATTATAAAAAAAATAAAAAGTGCAAAAATGCAAACAAATTTGTCTACATTGGTTTACAATCTAAGAAATAATTTATATTTTAATTGTAACAACAATGATCAAATGAAATTCTATCTAACAAAAACATGACATGATTATTGAAATAATGTACTATTGTCTTACCATCTATTAATGCTAACTTCAACAAGTAAATAATTCAATTTCTCCTATTTGCAATTCCTGTAATAACTGTTTAAGATATATAAAAAAATAAGTCAAAACAAGTGAATGAATTAAGAGAAATTTTGGAAATGCTAAATATAATAGAAGCATTATAAGAAAAAAATAATAAACAAATTATTCCTTTAGATGTAATAGAAGTTTTTAGCTCTTAATACAAAAAAAAAGAAGTTTTTAGGCCTTTAGCAGCAAGGTGCTCCTTAGATAGGTTCATTTGGTGTACTTTAGCCCAATTCTCAAAGTTCAGACGGTTAGAGCTGTTCAAATAACACACGACTTCAAAATAGAAAATTATTATTCGATGTTAATAGCCTTTCGAAACTAGTGTTACTGAATAAGCTGAATTGGCATTGGCTGATTTTGTTCGTCGTGGTCTTGTCAAGCAAACTATTTTGTTAGAAAGGAGAACCAACTCAACTTATTTGACTTGTAGCGTAATTATAAAAGATTTAACGGAAGGTGCAAAATTCCTTGCACAAAAAGAAATTGGTCAAAAAAAGTAATATTTTTTTAAGGACTGATCAATTAAATTCTCCACGCCAATCGGTTATTCAAAAACTAGTACATAACTGGTAAACTCTTATTAAAAATCAACCATCGTTATGCTGGATAATCATTCAATCCATCAAAATGAGACGTTTTTAATTACAACATTACGTAATGTTACTCAACATCGATGGAATATTCCTAAATGTTAAATAACCAAATACTAAGGTATAAATCGACAAACATTATCAAAACACTTGTAATTACAATTTTCTAAAAATTAGATTCTGGACTTTATCATAATTCATTATGACTTCCTATTTCTGCCATGATACCAAATCTGACCTCGGATCGACAGAATTGGCTATAGATTTTGATGATATAAATGATGCAAATGTCATAATCGAAGTTGGGGGAGAAAATAATTTAGAATTCAAATCTTTTAAGGCTCATTCATTGGTGTTATGCGAAAAATCCACTTATTTCAGAATTGCGTTATCGGACAAATGGGCTAGGAAAGAAGAGGATATCTATATTTTTAAAAAGCCAAATGTTGCTCCAAAGATTTTCGAAGTTATTTTAAAGTATGCATCATTTTATACCGTAAATGACCGTATACGAGACTCCGGATCTGTCATATTCTGCCAATTTTAAAACCTCTAATAGACACCAGATATAGTATACAATTGAAAGCTTATGTCGTAAAAAGAAAGAGGTGAAAGCACATACAAGCTTTGCATTTATAATAGGCATTTGATGAATAGAGATCCCTATTCTGATACATAGAGTCTACTATTAAAAGGGCCTTCTATACGCCCATTTACGGTACTATACTATATAGATTTTTTTTTTATTAATCCAGTTATCTTATTATATAATTGTATTAACTAGGTTTATTTATTACGAAAGTGTGAATTTAGAACACTTAGATGGTCCAGATTCGATCGCGCTATTAATCGCTTCAGACGAAATAGAACTTCAACGACTATGTATACATGTGCAGACTCATATAATGAATACACAAAACGATTGGCTCTGCAAAAATTTAATATTTGTTCTTGATATAATATCAAAACATGAAGATTTTGACATACTTCGTGAACACGTACTTGGCATAGTGTGTAGGGATCCCCATTTAATTTTTGGTGCAAGTAATGATTATTTATTCCTCTCTGAATCAATCATGATTCTTTTACTAAAACGTGACGATCTAGGAATGGACGAAATTGACATCTGGGAATACCTCATAAAATGGGGGATAGAACATACAAAATCCCTAAGTCAAATTAATCGCGATATAAATAATTGGTCTAAAAGCGATTTTGCAGCTCTGGAAGAAACCTTACATAATTGCATACCGTTAATTAGATTTTTTCAGATTTCTTCAACGGACCTGTATGATAAGGTTAGAATTCCTTACAAAAAGATTTTACCAAAACAATTGAATGAAGATATTATTAAATATTTTATGAAACCTGGCTGTGAACTTACTACTAGAATTTTACCTTCTCGTTTAACGATTATAGATTCTCATATCATTAAATCAATACATGCTGGACTTATAAGTAGCTGGATCGATGGAAATGTCCATGACAATGGTTGTTCAAATTGTAAAATCAATTACAACTTTAATTTACTTATTCGTGGAAGTCGTGATGGTTTTGATGCATCAACATTTCATAGTCTGTGTGACGACAAAGTTGGAACTGTGGTAATAATAAAATTAAAAGACAGTAATCAAGTGGTGGGTGGGTATAATCCGTGCACATGGCAACGAACGTTCTTAGGACCACTTACTAAAATGAGAGATTATGAAAACATTGTAAATAGTTTTGTGTTTTCGTTTAATGTTAATGATGATCTGAAAAATGCCGTGTTAAGTAGGGTTGTGGTGGCTAGTAACGCGTTTTATTATTCTACTTCGAATGGCCCTTGTTTTGGAGATGGTGATCTTTGGATGACTGGAACTTTTGGATCATCAAGGAGAATGTCGTATGAACATAGTATTATGGATGTGTCTAATTTCTTTGCTAACGATTATGAGGTTTTTCAAGTCAAAAAACGGTAACTAGATCAGTAATATTTAAAGATTTACAAGGGATGCACACGATAACATAAAACAATGTTGGAGCTCACTATTCTTTTTTTCGTGATAAAAACTAATAATATGCGATATAAACTAATTATATCGGTAAGAAAGCAAACGTCAGATATAAATAGTAAGGTTTTTATATTCAATTCTTAGCATTCTTATGCAAGCATCATTTAAATTTAGGGTGAATGTTTGAATTTTCCAACTTGACTAATGCCTTATTGAAATTAGTCGTCTCGCGATTTTCGAACAAATTGCCATTGCTTTAGTCCAACCTTTCCAAGTATTATATTACATATCTAATCGAAATACCATAATCTTTGTTGAAAAGATTATGGTCAACTCAAAAAAAACATCAGTTCCGTGAATAAATTTTGAACTTTTGGAAATAAACTACATTTTTTGGTAATTTTAGCGATCGACGACTGTAACCATTTTATCGCATATTCGAATGAACATATAAGTGCACTCGCTAAGTAATATTCCCAAATAATTAGGCCATTTGCATCTTGAGATGAACTTTTAAGTCATTTAAGTAATTTGAACTTAAGAGCTCAAATACGAAACTAATTAATTTGTAAATTACATTATAATAGCTAATAATAAGTCCTATTATTATGTTCATTCGGTCATTTAAAAGTCATTTGAGAACTAGGGAAACGCATTATTTCATTTAACGTTAATATTTAAAAAACATGTTAAACGGGTGCGCTTTTTTGATTGGTTAACATTAACTGATATATGTTGTAGATTTATATTTAAAAGCTAGGTTTGAAACTGTAAAAGATTATAATCTAACTGATTATTAAAAGACAGTTTATTATAACAGATATAATTTTCAAAATTCATCATAGGGGAATTTGAATACTAAACCTGTCACTTGAAGGTTAACAACTTACCAACTACATCAAGTTATCACATTCTGTGTTTAATTTCATAATGGTTATTTTATAATTAATATTATAAAAAGTTTCAAATTTGGTTAATAAATTAATTAAAGTTGGATATTAAAGATATATGAAATATGGGTACATGTTATTTCACTGACAAGTTTATTTTACCAACAACTATTTCATTGACAGTTCATTTTACCAACTAGATTTTTTTTAAAGTTGCACTAACATTAATTCTAATTCCAACTGACTCTAACAAAAATGATCAGAATTACTTTGTCAGTGAAATGACTGTCAGTGAAATGACTGTCAGTGAAATAACTGTCAGTGAAATAAACTTGTCAGTGAATTAACTGTTGGTGAAATAGGCTGTCATTGAAGTGATTGTTGGTGAAATGAGCATCACGTATAGGTTTTATACTAGATACTATACTTGCAAGTTAACTACAGATCTTGTTTATTTAAATCCTTTGCATATGTAATCCCAACTTATATTATGATGACATCTTTATGGTTACATTCATCCAAAGTACTTAATATCTTCAAAGTTCTTAGAATTACTTTAACCGAAAAAACTTATTAGAATCTTCTATGTTCTATATATAACTGACTTAATTTTATTCAATTTATTATAATTTTCTAATACTTGTAGTTATAGGGTTATCTGTTTAATCATTATATTATAATATTTTTATCTTTATAAAGTTTATTAGAACTAGAGTATAATGATCTAGTAAAGTGATCAAGTTATCAATCTCCAAATGACAGATCTAAAGTTCAAATCTTATAAATGATGAATTTTGAAAAATATACCTATATTATAATAACTGTTTTTGTTGATTAGTTGGATTAATATATCTATAACCTTCAGTTATATTATCTCAAATAGGAGCTTAGAGCATCTATGCAAAATGTAATATTATATCCATATAGAGGAATGTTAATAACTAATATTATATAAGACTTTGGTGCAAATCTATAATAAAACCACTAGATGCAAAAAGTAAAAGAATTATAAAATTAGAAACTCACTTGAAAATCCTGAATAAAAAGATAATATAAACTTTTGATAATGCTATTAGACTAATGAAAGTCTATAAAACATCTTTAATAAGAATAGACAAATAAATTAGATGATAAGATATATAAAGAAACATATGACCAACTAGGTTATCAAAATTACTAAAGGAAAAGAATACTAAAGGCATACTATACTGGGTTATCTGAATTGGAAGTCTGAAAACTTCTGTTAGTTCTTAACTGTAATTAGTAGAGATAATAAAAAAATATCAGAAAGATAGGTATCAGGATTTGGATAAATCTTACAAAAGTATACTAGTTTAATAGTTAGTCCTGACTGTAAATAATGGTATAGACCAAAGCAATACTGGGTTAGCTATAAATATGAAATACAAAAAGTTTTGTTATGTTTAGTACAAAGTTAAATATAACTTAGTGACCATAGTATATCTTTATTAATTTACTAAAATTATTAGTAGAGTGTAATAGATATAGGATTAGAGTATTTAAATAAAAAATCTACAGATGGGTCCTAGATATAGCAAATAGTATAGAACCTTTGAGCAGACTACTTAAATTAGATAATAACTAAAGTTATATAAATAGTTAGTTATACATTCTTTCTATAATTGTCTCTATATCTGTTATGTTAACAGATACTAGTTAATATATACTATTAATAAAAGCTTGGATTGCATATACTCACCTTAATATCAAAAAAAAAAAAAATACTAGAATCCTAATATTTATCTTTCTAATACTGTATACTTCTGAAATTAAGCACCTTTTTTTATTATAGGAGTGCTTAATTTCAGGTAATTTTAAATTTTCTAATTTGATTAGACACATATGCTGATTCATGCAGATTCATGTAACTATGCTAAAATACCATCTCTTATTAGACAAGGAGGATCATACAACTTTTTGCCTGCCAATTAAATTATCAATAAAAAACTCAAAATCACTAGTAATTCATAACTTTTATTTATCAAATAATCTTTTATATATTACTGTATTAAAAAAAATTTTTAGTAGATCTTGTTTGACCTTTAATACTGTACTAACTAATGATATGTTTTATTTTTTTGCCATATTTGGTTTTTTTTTTGATAAAACAAGCATAACAATGCATGGTATAACTATGTATAATTATTTTAAAACAAAATTTACACGAAATCACCTTAATCTTGTTTGTATATACAATATTGAAAAAAAATAAAATAGGTCAAGCCAAGCTATGCCTTATACTCTATTAAACAAAAAAACAGAGTTATTAAGTATTCTAAAAAGAATAAAAGAAATAAAGCAGCAATATATTTTAACTTTGATACTAGTATGGTTGGTCATTATATTAAAGCAAACACAAGTTGGAGTACTGAGATAAATCAAAGTAGCAGGCATATTGGCTCTGGTCAGAAAGCATTCTATCCTAAAGTAGAAGAAAAATTATATACTTGGTTGATAGAATAGAGAAAACAGGAACTAGCAGTTACTTACACAATGTTGTGAATTAAAATGTTAGAACTTTTAAAAGAACCTGAAATAACAAATTCATATAATTTATTAAAGGATTTTAAAACATCAGATCATTGGTTATCTGCATTTTTAAAAAAAATATAAATTATTTTAAAGATAACATACAAAAATTTCTCGAAAACTTTCTAAACAAACTCAAGAATCATTAAATAAATTTTATAATTTGGTTACTGAACTTAAAAATAAGAAATCATATAAGCTTTGCAATATACTTAATATAGACAAAACTTCTGTTTGGTTCAATATGACAGAGAACTTTACAGTTGACCAACAAGAGAAAAAAATAATTCACATTTGTAGTACTGGCAATAAAAATAACAGATTTACTGTTGTGCTAACTTGTACTATAGGTAAGTAAAGTTTAATTTAGCTAAATATAGTTTTTTTATAAAACTTGTTTAAGCTTGTTATAATTTTTTTTTTTAAACTAATGCTGAAGTTTAATTTAACTAAATATAGTCTTTTATATAAGCTTTGTTTGGTTTTATATTAGAATTAGTTAAAATTAATTAATATAAAAAAATTTTTTTTTTTAACAAATTTATTATTTTAGACAGATTCAAGTTTCTACTAATTTGTATATTTAAAGGAAAACAATTATCAAGTAAAGAAAAAAGACTAATTCCTTCCAGTATAATTGTTTGGTTTCAAGACAATAGATAAATGAATACTGATTTAATGAACAAATATGTTGATTATCTTAAGGATATAAAGGTTAATAGATCTGGGGTTTCAATAATGATAGTCTATGATTTTTTTATAAAACATCTAAAAAAATCAGTTAAAGAAAAGTTTTGAGATAATGAGATTGATTTGGTAATAATTTTAGCTAGCTTAATCAGCATATACCAACTATTAGATATCATTATCAATAAACTATTTAAGGATAACTTTCATAAGGAATGGCATCTCTGAATGTCTTGTGATGGTGCTGATACAACTGCTAAAGAAAATCTTTACTGTGTAAGTTTTAGTAATATATGTTGGTAGGTTAAACATTCTTGGGAAGGAATCTTTAATAAGGTTGTTATTGAATCTTTTAAGGCTTATGGCATTACAAATAGTTTAGTCAATCAGAATGATTCTAATAAAGAAAATGACTATAAAGAACTAGAAATTATTGACTTAACAACTTAACATTGAAATTAGTAGAAGAACAATAGTTCATAGGTTAAAATTAAGACTTAAATCAAAAATAAGATGTATAGAAACTCCAAATTATATAAATGCTACTTTATCTGTTAACTACAATATTTTAATTCTAATATAAATAAAATACTATAAAATTTAGCAGTTAAAATTTTTATTGTAATCATGGTTAGCAAAATAATAGACAATTTTATCTCTACTTTATGTAACTTACACATCTTAATAAAGCAATGATTTTAGAATTCTATTTGAATTTAAAATAGGCCTGAATAAGAACATATTCCAATAATGATGCATTATTCAAAGATTAACATTATATTAAACTGAAAGTAAAGTTATTTATGTAAAATTATTTGTCTTATAATTTACTTTTTGAAG